TTAATGAAAGTATAAATAAACTCTAAGTGTTAGTGAATCTATCGTTTTGATGGGATATGCATCCTACGAAACTAATTTCAACGATCCAACCGTCAAACTTGTTTATATATTCTTCGAGATTGCATATGCCAAAAATCGCAAAAAACAAACATTCAGAGATCAAGTAACGAGACAAAACATTTCAACGGTTAGAAACGAAAAATCACGATTTAGCGGCTATTTTAACTCCGATTTTGATTACTTTTTGCAGCTACACTCTTTGATCCTATATGAATACAATAATGAATTCGATCTTCAATTTAAAATATTTACACTAATGCATACCACAAAATCTTATGTTATACTTAATGAAAGTATAAATAAACTCTAAGTGTTAGTGAATCTATTGTTTTGATGGGATACGTATCCTACGAAACTAATTTCAACGATCCAACCGTCAAACTTGTTTATATATGCTTTGAGATCGCATAAGCCAAAAATTGCAAAAAAACAAACATTAAGAGATTAAGTAACGAGTCAAAACTTTCCGATAGTTATAAACGAAAAATCACGATTTAGCAGTTATTTTAACTTCGATTTTGATGATTTTTTACAGCTACACTCCTTGATCCTATATGAATACAACGAACTAATTTGATCATCAATTTAAAATATTTCTAGAAATGGATACCACAAAATCTTATGTCATGATGATCGATGAAAATTGAGGATTTTGTAAAAGGAATAACATGCAAGCTTTGAGTTCCATTGGCAAGGTTTAAACTTTTGAGAAAGATTTCACAACCTTGAAAACAAAAACTCTTTCATTTTGCATATCCTTGCACATTTAACATTTTGTAATAGAGTAGTAGTGTATGGATATTTGTTTGTTAGGCTTTTATTTTCGAGTGTAGATGTAATACTTAAATGACAAATGTGTTATAATTTTTTGAAGTAATATTTTATGTGGCAATGTGTGGTATGTGCAAATTTAAGAAAAAAAATATATATTTCTTAACAGGTCATAACGGGTCGCCTGTTAAAGACCCATTAAGATAATGGGTGAGACACGACATGACCCGTTAAGATAACAGGTGTTACACGAAAACGATAGACACGACCCGTTTGCTAGGCCTAGTTGCATGCTACCTCATAAACCCGGTGTCGGTTGTAAGCGACAGATTGATAGTCTTTGTGTATCCCCTAAAATATTAATAAATAAAAAAAGCTATGTCGCTCAAAACTAACGCATACTTTAAAATATTTAAAAATAATAATTAGTGTCTGTGACAGCCCGTCCTGAATTATTTTATCGATGGCATGAAATGACTAAATTGCCCTTGGACGTCGAGTACGTTATGTGGTGTTGTGGCTTGAGTTTGGGTTTTAAACTAATTTAGTTAGTTCCTAAGTTTTTGGAACTTAAAGTTAGTGGGTTTAGTTGTTGTTAGTAACCCAAATCTGGACCCCACACACACACTCACGCCCATACCCAACTTCCGTTGACCTTTCTATTTCCTCCCTTTCTCGAGTTTCTTCCATTGTCCGTACAATACGTACTGACAAACCTCAAACCAAACAATTTCTTCACGGATCGAGGTTTTGGAGACTATATTAGTGTTCCCGGTGAGCTCAGGAACTCATCCATACCCTTAGTTGAATGTGAATCCTTCGTAAACTCAAGAACCTAGGAACCCCGATCATGGGTACTTTTCATGCAAACGTAAGCGTGAAGTTTTTAAGGAGGTTTAAGGTTATAGGGAGCCTTAAAACATCTTCATGAAGCTCGGGGAGTAATTTTGAAGTGTTTTGGACGTCAGGAAGCCCATGTTTAGTGAGTTGCAGGTTTGGCCGAAATATCGAAGGTTTTTCAGGCACTTTTCCATTGGTTTTAGGTCCCCAAAGTGGTATGAATATGTTCTTCTCATCTTAAGCTTCAATTTGGTTTAAATTTAGTGAATTTTGGATGAGCAATGAAGAAGATATGAAGTTTTTAAATTTTTCCAGTTTTCGGCGATTGCAGCGGTGACCGGCGCCAGACTCCGACGAACCAAGGAAGAAGGAGAAGAATATTCCGTCAAAGTTGACCGAATATTCTGACGCCGTCAGGTAGCTTTAACGGCATATGCTACTTTTTAACGGAATATTCTCTAACGCCGTTAGGGAATCCATTTGGCGTGCCAGGCACGTGCTTGTGCATGAGCCGCTTGTCTGGCCGTGCTTTGGGCGGCGCGTGGGGTCATGAAACATTTTTCTAAAATTTTGGGGATGTTCCTGAGGTTGAGTAGGTCATGATGGTATATTCAAATACCCCATTTGAGCAATGTATGAGAAGTTATTTCCTAGTTTGGTATATGTGCTTTAAATAACGTTTATTCAGTTATTTCGCATATAGGTGAGATATATCCTGAGGATGAGTGCCATCAATCGAAGCTTGGGGGCTACGACTCTTCAACATATCAGTGGGTGAGCTTTTGGTTTTCAGTATATACTTATATACTTGGTATTTTTCCCAAAAAATGAATTTGAATGATTATACGTTTTAAAATGCCATGCAAAGTATCTGCCTATTTTACTTATGCATTAATAGTTGCATATATTTATGATTGGTGTTGCGGACGCACTGGTAAGTGCCAGGTAAGTTCATAAATTAAAGATATGAGATTACTTCAGTTATGCGAGATATGTTGTGATGTATTGAGAGCTCATAAACCTGCACCCCAGTGTTAGTGCTCCCGCCCAGAGTTAAGGCACAATCTTTCACGTGATTCCGAGTTAGGTGCACAGGCTTGTCGTACAGACCACTTTAGGTGGTTCCAACTCGTAGGTGACCCGTAATCATTCGCACAGCCTTCATGTGATCGTAGCACTAGAGCATATTTGTTTTACACCTAGCCTTGTCGTACAGACCACTTTAGGTGGTTCCGACTCGTGTGCAGGATTTGATACAGTTGAGATTGGTTATGAGCTATAGACTCAGTTGTACAGATTGAATTAAGGGATTCGGCTGATGTGATATCTGGCATCGATATGTTTTATCTGGATTACTTATGGCATTGCATTGAGATACTTTGGCATGGTATACTTCTATGGATTTTCATCCTGAGCATGATTTCTGGTATAGCATGTTACTACTATTATTATTTTTCTGGGAAATTATACGGTTTTACGGCGGGGGGTTAGAACTTTTGAGAAATGAAATGACTTTGAAAAGCTTTTTTACCCACTCACACTTTCTGTTTTGCGCCCTTCCAGGTTTTAGGTAGGAGTGCTTTGGCGGATCACAAGGATTTCGACGGTGGTTCTGATAGAACATCATAAATGTAGGATCACCTTTGGGTGTTGTATAATTAGTACTTGTCTTGCTTGACTGCACTTAGGCTATTTATGCTCTGATAGTGTATTTCACACTTAATCTCACTCGTGCACCTTATTTTAGCTAGTACTCTAGCCGATTTGGTTATTTATTTATTTATTCGCTCTTCCTTATATCTTTATTGCTTCCGCACTGTGCACATGGTTACGTCACTCTCACGTGACAGCCAACACGCCCTGATTTAGGTCGTGGTGTGTCAGTGTTGACTAGAAGCGACACCAATACTTTATGTCGCTTAAAAGCAACATTTTTTTAAAGCGACACTTTTTTTTTTAAAACGACACCATTATTTAAAAATTATTAAAATGTACGTCGGTTATAAGCGACATTAAATGTTTACATTGGTTAAAAGCGACATAGAAACTTTATGATGCTTACAAGCGACAATAAATCCGACGTCATATTCAGTAGGTGTCGCAAATGTCTTGTCTGCCACTATATTATATTAAAGCGACATCACCGAGTGACACAATAAGTCCATTTTGTAGTAGTGGGATGTGGGACCCTCACCTGTAACCTTATTTAGTGGTTCACACGTGGAGATCCACATCAGTAATTGAAACTCATAGGTCGGCTCACGTTGGGCCCACTTATTTTCAATTGGAACTCAGCAGTCGTCTCTATGTTAAGAGCTCATACTTGTTTCCTTCCTAGTGGTGACAAGCTCATTGGCTTGCACACAAGCTCGTTGGCTTGCATGGGCCCGCAACTATGGGCTGTGATACCATGTTGAAATTTTTGAATCGCCAGGCCCGTCCCACTCTAACGACACTGATATTGTCCCCAACTTTACCACATGTCCAATCTGTCAGGTGTGGGGTTTTACCATAAAAGATTTCGGTATTAGTTGAGATTTTACCATAAAAGATCTCGGTATTAGTTAGAGTGGGGTAAACATATTTAAACCCATTTGATTTTCTTCCCATCACCAACGTGGGACTTTAACAGAAAGTGGTTGTTCCACAGTGCATGCCATGCATGCAGAGTTGATAGGAACGAGAGGGAGGGGAATAAGGGGGGGGGGGGAGAGAGAGAGAGAGTGTGTGTGTGTGTTTGAACGTGAGAGTTGCAGAGAAGTGAGGTGAGGGAGAGAGCACGGGAAGAAGAGAAAGAGGGTGTTCTCGAAAATGGGATGTGTCACGGGGGGAGAAAGGAGAATAAACAATGGGTGTTTTGCAGAGATTGTGAGGGAGAGAGAGAGAGAGCTTGAGATATGGGAGGGAAGGAACACGAGGAAATGGGGTGTCACGGGAGGGAAGAAGCCAACGTGCTGGTTCACAAACCCAACACAGGAGCATTTCTTATGTAGTTTTTTTCTTAAAAAAAATATATAAAAATAAATTATTATTAGCTGATGATTTCACAACATTCTATTAATTTACAAACCCAGAACACACATAGGAACATGTCAGCCTTCCTTGACTATTACTGTTGCCAGAATTCGAAACGCAACTTGTATCCACACAACAAAATATTCATAATATAAAGTACTAAACCGAATAACGATTGAGACAAGTGGTTGATTTAGCACCCGTTCACAATTGTCGCATCTTTTCTTCCTTTTGTCTTGGCCCTTGGGTGGCAGATGTTATTTTATTTTTCTATAGGAAGGACAGCTGTTATTTTGTCTTTAACAAACGTATGGTAAAAGAAAACATTATCTTCCTTGCTGAGCTTTTTGATACCGTTGGATGAAAAAGAAAAATGGGTGGGTGGACCGATTGCAATTGACTCGGTTCTTCCCAGTTCACCCTTTTCTTTACGGTTGTCTGTAGATCTCAAATTTGATCTGTGCTGCCAAGAAATCCCTGGAGTAACAATTGATGGCTTCATCCTCCAAAGACGATAGCAAGTACGACGTGTACTTGAGTTCTGGAGGTGAAGACACACGCAGGACCTTCACGGACCACCTCTACTGTTCATTAAAAGACCACCGAGTCAACGTATTCATGTACGGAGACGAGTACGATGACAAACTAGAAGAAAGTAATGGAGCTATACCAGAACATCTGATTCAAGCAATCGAAAGGTCTAAGGTTGCCGTCGTCGTCTTCTCAAGAGGGTATCCGGAGTCCTTGTGGTGTCTCAAGGAGCTGGTGAAGATCATGGAGTGCAGGGAAACACTGGGTCAAATGTTTTTTCCAATTTTCTTTGATGTTGATCCCTCAGATGTCCGGAAACAGAGTGGTAGTTTTGCGCAAGCGTTTCAGAAATACGAACAGAAAATTAACGAAGACAAGGTATGTCTCTGGAGAAAGGCTCTTTGGGAAGCTGGAGTTTTGGCCGGATTAAATTTTAGGGAGACTGACGGGTAATTATTTTTCTTATTTCCCTTTTATTTTCTTTACTTTGTGCGCTTTAAATTTCCCGTCCATTTTATTTATCTCTTTGTATATAATGATTAAATCAGGCTTATAAGCTTTAAAGTTGGTTTGGTAACCATTTAGTTTTTAATTTTCTGTTTTAGTTTTTAATTTTTACTTTCAGTTTTGAGTTTATATAAAAATAAAAAAATAAAAACTGAAAAACAAAAGGGGAAGTTTTTCGTTTTGGTTTTAGTTTTTACAATTTGGCATTCAGTTTTTATTTTTTGCTTTCAGTTCTCATTTTTCTGAAAATTGAAAGTTGTTAACAAATAAGATTTGGGAAATTTTATTTGAACCCATCTAACCTCTTACTACATCCAACTTAAATTCTAAAACAAGATGAAACTAAGAATAAAACTAAAATCTATCCATAAACCCGTACTCAATAATCAAGTTCTACCATCACACAATCTTTATCCTACATTCATTCTGACTAAATTCCTAAGAGCTGCCACAAAGCCCTACGATCACCTAATAATCAAATCTGGTTGCTTTTCATTTCCTCTCTAGCTTCATGTTAACTCGATTGGCAAGAGCAATAATTACAAACAATATCATCACCAGAAACAAAAAAGTCAGAAAGCTTTCAACACAACGAAATGTTTTCCATGTCATTACGAGTGCATGTCTAAAGTGTGAGTTCTCTTCTCGTTATTTGTTCAGTTCTGCTTCCAATTGAACTATGTATGCCTGTAAAAGCATATATCGCTCAAATGAAAATTACTGCCATGATCCTTCAAGACAACGTGATGAGAAGTTCTACTGAAATTTACTTTCACTAAGGTGTCCACATAATTTTACATGATTCAAATTCCAAAAGTACTATTTCATCTGCTTGCCTAGCAACTACTGAACTGTGTAATCTTGAATTGCAAATTCATCACTTAGTTCCACGAATCACATTCAGGCTAGCTACTTGGACTATATTAAGAGGTTGGCGAAGATCATTTCCTAACAATCTTGCACTCCAAACCGACGTCGCAAAAGTTTAAAAAACAAATTGATGCTGTTGATCAATTCATCTATAACAATTGGTTGCCATGACAAAATCTTAATTCTTCGTTCACTCATTTAGGATTTATTTTCTAAATGGGTGTAAAGATGAATTTTTTTATATTGAATTGAGTTTGTAAAGGTAGTTTAGATAGTAAATTTGGGTTTAAAGAGAGATTGATTCTTTAATTAAAAATAATTTGGGTGTAAAGAGTAAGATGGGTGTAGAAAGAGGTTGTATGGATTCAAATAAAATTTCCCATAAGATTTTAGTTTTCAAAAAAGTGAAAACCGAATAAGTTTTCACTTTTGCTTTGTTGAATTTTAACTTCCAAGATTTCAGTTTAAGAAATTGTAAGGGTATCTGGAGAGTTTGACTCGTCATTTTCTGAAAGATTGATGTAATCTTGAAGTTGCATAATAAATTTTCACTCTTGCTTTGTTGAATTTTAACAACCAGGCATGAAGGAAACTTTATCAGGAACGTTATTTCTCAGATCACTGGAAAACAGAGCATCACCACAAGCTTAGAGGTACCCACCAACCTAGTTGGAATAGATTCTCGTGTGCGGGAAATTAGTAAGCATTTAAATGTTGAAGGATCAAATGATATTCGCACAATTGGAGTTTTGGGTATGTGCGGACTGGGTAAGACAACGGTTGCAAAAGCCATTTTCAACAAACATCATCATAATTTTGACGGTGCAAGTTTCCTTCAAAAGGTGAGGGAAAAGAAACTGGTTGATTTGCAAGAACAACTTCTTTCTGATATCTTGAAACCGGCCTACAAAGTGGTAAGTTGTATCGATGAAGGGACCAAGGAGATAGAACAAAGGTTAGGCAACAGAAGGGTACTTGTCGTAATTGATGATTTAGACAGCGTTGAACAGATAGATGCTTTGGCTATAAAACCTGACTCCTTTGGTCCAGGGAGCAGAATCATTATAACTTCAAGAAACGAACATTTGCTAAGGATACTTAATGTGTATAAGATATGTCCTCTGCCAGCAATGAATGAAAGAGAAGCTCTTGAGCTACTTAGTTTGCATGCCTTTAGAAAGAATTATCCTCATGAAGAGTATGTTGAGCTCTCAAGAAAGGCTGTTGGCTACTGTGGAGGTTTGCCACTTGCACTTGAAGTCTTAGGTTCTTATCTATGTTCAAAAAGCACAAGTGAATGGGAGACTGTACTTGATAAATGGAAAAGATCACAGCCTTATTGGGAATTCACAAAAGACTTGAAATAAGCTATGATGGGCTAACTGATGATGACGTGAAGGCTATATTCCTAGACATCTCTTGTTTCTTTGCTGGAATGAACAAGGACTATGTCATGACAGTACTGGATGGCTGTCAGTTTTATCCAGAAATAGGGATTCGAGAACTCCAAGATCAATGCCTTGTAACTGTTGATAAGGAACTGTTGATAAAGAAGGCAATCTCATGATGCATGATTTGATTCAAGGCATGGGCAGAGAAATCGTGCGTGCAGAATCGCCTGACAATCCTGGAGAACGTAGTAGATTGTGGCATAATGAAGATATAACAGACGTATTGACGAAGCAATCTGTGAGTACTTTTGCAATTAAATTTGATGTTAAATGCATGTACCAATGTAGCAGAGAAGGGAACCTGTAAGAGACAAAAAAGGAGCCTTTTGTATTGAATCATCTCAAATTAAATAACAGAATCACACATGTCCTGCTCTCGTTAAGTACAATTTGTTAATTATGATACCCGTAACAGAAGCTTGCTAAAGATACCTAATTAATGTAGACAGATGTAAAGTACAACTCTATGGTTATAATCCAGACATATAAGCACATTATAGTAGATATATAATAAAAGTTGCCTATGAGACGTCCCATGTTCTATATTGTCTAATTGTCTACCTCTCATGTGGTTCATCCATCCAATTCAAGGCTTTGTGGTTCTGATGTATGGTTTAATCACCTTTTCACTTGCCTATAACCCTTTTCTTAGTTCGTCTGTAGTTGTTGTTGTTGTTGTTTGTTTGTTTTAAATTTTTAACTATTTTTTGTAATAGGGAACGGAAGACGTTGAAGGACTCGCTTTAGATATGCAAGAGTCTGACGAGTGTAGCTTCAGTTCAGAATTATTTAGAAACATGCAGAGTCTGAGATTGCTCAAACTCAATAACATAAAGCTCACTGGAAGTTACGACAATCTTTCCAAAGAGTTAAGATGGTTGTGTTGGCATGGATTTCCTCTGGAGGTCATACCAAAAGATTTTGATCAACCAAACCTAGTTGCTATTGACCTGAGCTATAGCAAACTCATACGAGTTTGGGAGGATTCCGATTTGGTATGATATGGCCTCAACCAAATTGTTAATTCTTTCTTCCAGGTTTTATAAACACCAACTTCATGCTTTCTCTCTTCCATTTGTATTTATTTTAGTTTTTCCTTTTGTCTTAACAGTTGCTCGAGAAGTTGAAGCTTCTTAATCTCAGTCATTCCCCTAACCTGGCACAAACACCAGACTTCTCAAGACTCCCAAATCTCGAGGAAGTGATATTGAATGATTGTGAGAGTTTGTCCGAGGTTCACTCATCCATTGGGAATCTTGAAAGACTTACTTTGGTTAATCTTGACGGCTGCAAAAATCTCAAGGATCTCCCATTGAATTTCTTTAATTCCAAGTCTATTGAAACTCTTCTTCTTAACGGCTGTTCAAGATTTGAAAACTTGGCTGAAGGCTTGGGAAAGAGTTACCAGAAGACAGCAGATGGCACACCCATAAGACAAATACTAAGGCTGAGTTTTTCATCTCAATATGTTTTGAAAGAGTCACCATCAACTAGTCTTTTGCCCCCTTCTTTACATGGCATAAACTATTTACGGAAATTAGATCTCGGATGCTGCACTTTGACTGATGACAAAATCCCGAAAGATCTTGGGAGTCTAATTTCTTTAGAAGACTTAGATCTTCGAAAAAATAGTTTTTGTAGCTTACCAAGCCTCAGTGGTCTTTCTAAGCTTGAAACATTGTGTTTAGATGATTGCACAAACCTACATGCAATCCCAAATTTACCAACAAATTTGAAAGTGTTGCGAGCGGGTTTGTGCACTGCACTAGAAACAATGCCAGATTTTTCAGAATTGTTGAGTATGAGAGAGCTGTATCTAAGTCATTCATGCAAACTCACAGACATTCCGGGCTTGGATAAGTCATTAAACTCTGACAAGAATTCATATGGAAGGGTGCATCAATCTCACTGCTGATTTTAGGAACAACATCCTACAGGTCTCTCTTTCTTTCTAGCCTGTTTTCTCTCTTTCTACTACACACACAGAAGCACATATATATGACACATGCATGCATAACAATGTATTGTTGTTACAAATCTGGCTCTACATGGTACAGGGATGGACTTCTTGCGGATATGGTGGCATTTTTTTCAATGGAAATTATCTTCCTGACTGGTTTGATTTTGTCAAGGGTGATCTGGTCAGCTTTCACGTACCTCCAATTGTTGGTCGCAGTTTTAGCGGGTTGACTTTGTGCTGCATATACTCTTCAAAGGAACAACGTGAAGGTCCTCTCGGCATTATCATTAGCAATAAAACCAAGTGTACTGCTGTGCTCGCCCGGATAACATATGCCTCAGTACCAACTTCCTGTACGCTTGATGACCATTATCTTTGGCAGGGACATATATCGAATTATGTGCTCAGTTTGCAAGGGGGGGACAAGGTTGATATATTTGTAAAGCCTGTTGAACCTGCAGATGCTTCTGTGAGTGTGAAGGAAATAGGGGTTAATCTAGTATGGGACAACTTTATGAAGGAAAATATGCATGATTCAGACTTGCTTCTATATGATTTTGGCCAACATCCGGATTGGTTATTGGGTGCTCATGGGTACTTTCTTATTTCTTTTTTCCTTTCCTATATTTTGTATTTTTTGTAATTTGCCATTCCTTCTAACAAAAGTTATTAATTGGCTACATAATGTATTGGTCTATTGAACTCTCATATTTATCAAATGTCAAGAAACAATGAATTATCATAACTACGCCTTGGAGTAATTGATTTTACACATTGCAATGTAGAGCTTCCAGACTCTTCCATGAGAAATCTGTGTCATGTGTGGTTTAATGCTTTAATGATTTTCGAAGATTTTGATTCATCACTGGGCTTTCAAATCTTCCACTCCCAAGCTCTCTAGTCATAATGGGCAAGATATTAGTTCAATTTAATTGTGCCGTTTATTAGTAAATCTTACTTTTGCTTAATTTTGAATTGAATTTTACCTATCAGGTATGAAGGAATCAGTAGAGAACTGAAGAGCAATTATTTGGACGTAGCCAGACACCCAGTTGGAATAGATTCTCGTGTGCAAGAAATCAGTAATTATTTAGATGTTGTAGGATCAAATGATGTCCGTGTCATTGGAATCTGGGGCATGGGCGGACTGGGTAAAACAACGGTTGCAAAAGCCGTTTTCAACAAACATCATGGTAGTTTTGATGGTGCAAGCTTTCTTCCAAATGTGAGAAAAGAGAAGAAACTGGTTCATTCACAGAACAAACTACTTTCTGATATCTTGGGATCGGGAAACATGAAGGTTAGTAGCGACGATGAAGGGACCAAGGAGATTAAAAGAAGACTTGGCAACAAAAGAGTGCTTGTCATAGTAGATGATGTAGACAGCCATGTACAGTTAAATGCATTGGGTATAAGTGGTAACTCATTTGGTCGAGGAAGTAGAATTATCATAACAACAAGAGATCAACATTTGCTAAGGATGTTTAATGTGGATGCGATATGTCCTGTGCAAGGACTGAATGACGAAGAAGCTCTTGAGCTGCTTAGTTGGTATGCCTTTGGTAAGAGTTATCCTAATGAAGAGTATGTTGAGCTCTCAAGAAAAGCTCTTGGCGACTGTGGAGGAGTAGCACTAGCACTACAAGTCTTAGGTTCTTATCTGTGTACAAGAAGTAAAAATGAATGGGAAACTGAACTGGATAAATGGAAAAGACATCGTCCTAGGGAGATTCATAGAAGACTTAAAATAAGCTATGATGGGCTAAATGATCGCCTGAAGGATGTATTCCTGGATATAGGCTGTTTCTTTATTGGAATGAACGAGAACTATGTCGAGACAATATTGGATGACCGTGGCTTATATCCAGTGGGAGGAATTCGAGAACTCCAAGATAAATGCCTTGTAACTGTTGATACAAAGGGCGATCTGATGATGCATAACTTGATTCGAGACATGGCCAGAGAAATCGTATATGCACAATCCCCTGACCATCCTGGAAAACGTAGTAGATTGTGGCACCATGCGGATGTAAAGGACGTTTTGGGGGAAAAATCTGTAAGTACTTCGGCAATCAAATCTTATGTTAAATATGAACTTCTTTAAGGGATAAGTATATGCCACCTATATTATTTCAATAATTAATTTTTAAAATTAAAAACCCCAAACCCACGCAGTAGATGGAGAAATTTTTTATTGTAACCGGAACACGAGTGGTACACACATAATTTTATACAAGTGGTGGAAAATTATATTTTTTAAGTTATTAACTTTTAAGCACACATATCTCACTATTTGTATAGTAACACATGATGTACCATCCCGTGTGTCCGTCACACTGGAAAATCTCTCCAGTAAATGCTGAAGCAGTTAGCCTCACCCCTCCAACCCTCCACCCATATTTTTCCTTTTTTAAATTCAAAAATAGAAGTCCAAAACAATTTAAAGGCACACGCGTGTGCCAAGGGTTTAGTAATACGTAAAGTAACACCGTGTAACCGATGCCGACTAAGATACCTAATTAATATGGTAAAATGTAAATCACAACTGAATTCTAGTTCATGCATCCAATTCATGGCTTTCTTCATGTGAATAAATTCTCTTTTCACGCCAAAATAAATTTTGTCTTACTTTGTTCCTTTTTCTTTTCCTTGAATAGGGAACGGAAGACGTTGAAGGACTCGCTTTAGATATGCAAGAGTCTGATGAGTGTAGCTTCAGTACAGAAGCATTTAGAAAGATGCAGAGTCTGAGATTGCTCAAACTCAATAACATAAAGCTCACTGGAAGTTACCAAAATCTTTCCAAAGAGTTAAGATGGTTGTGTTGGCATGGATTTCCTCTGGAGGTCATACCTGAAGATTTCGATCAGCCAAACCTAGTTGCTGTTGACCTGAGCTATAGCAAACTCATACGAGTTTGGGAGGATACTGACGTGGTATGATATGATCTCAAAACAAATTATTAATTATTTTCTTCAGCTTCTGTGAATACCAATATCTTGCTTTCTCTCTTCTGTTTGAATTTTTATTTTGTTATCTGTTTTTTCCTAGCAGCTGCTCAAGAATCTGAAAATCATCAATCTCAGTCATTCCCATTACCTAACAGAATCACCAGATCTTTCCAAAGTCCCAAATCTTGAAAAACTGATATTGGTAAAGTGTGTAAGATTGTCTAAGATTCACCCATCCATTGGGCATCTTGAAAGACTTTCGTTGGTAAATCTTGAAGACTGCGAAACGCTTCAGTATTTTCCAGGGGATTTCTGTAAGTCAAAATCAGTTGAGACTCTTATTCTTAAAGGCTGTACAGGATTAACAGAACTGAAGGACAAGGGGGAGATGGTATCATCGACAACACTGCAAGCAAGCCATACAATGACAAGGAAATTACCATCCTTGATAGCAGGATTGAAGAACCTGGGAGCAAAACTGAAGGACAAGTGGAAGATGGTATCATCGCAAAGACTTCAAGTAAGCCATACAATGACAACACTTCAAGCAAGCCATACAATGACAAGGGAATTACCATCTTCAATAGTAGGATTGAAGAACCTGATATCTTTGCCCCCTTCGTTGCACTGCTTAAACTCTCTGACATATTTAGGTCTTGGAAACTGCGGTTTAATTGATGATGCAATCCCTAAGGATCTTGGGAGTCTATTTTCTTTAGAAATATTGGACCTTGCTGGCAATTTGTTTTATAGCCTACCGAGCCTCAGTCAACTCTCCAAGCTTAAAATGTTAGATTTGAGTTGTTGCATAGATCTTCATGAAATCCCAGATTTACCAACAAATTTGGAAATCTTGAGAGCGAATGAGTGCATTGCACTTGAAAAAATGCCAACTTTTTCGGAAATGTCGAGTATGGTAGAACTGCATCTAAATCGCTCTCCCGAACTCGTTGAGATTCTAGGCTTGCATAAGTGGTTAAACACTATGAGAAGGATTCATATGGAAGGCTGCACCAATCTCACTGCTGCTTTTAGGAAGAACATCATACAGGTCTCTCTCTCTCTCTCACTCTCTCTCTCACGCACACACAAATATGCACACATACACGCGTAAGACATGCATGTACAAGAATATATTACTTATGCATAAGAATGACGTGTACATGCTGAGTTTTAGGAAGAACATCCTACAGATCTCTCTCTGAGAGCTGTATTCTCTTGCTCTTTCTATCACACGCCCACAGAGGCACTGTACATGACACACGCATGCATAATTAAGACTATTGCTTCTACAAATTAATCTGGCTTTACATGGTATGCTCTAGGGATGGACTTCTTGCGGAGATGGTGGCATTTTTCTCAATGGAGTTTATGATATTCCAGAGTGGTTCCAGTTTGTTGGTATTCATGAGTCCAATGATGTTCATTTTAAAGTGCCTCAAATTATTGATCGTAATGTTAGAGGATTGACTCTGTGCTGTGTTTTCAAGAGAGATTGTCCTGGATTTACTGTTACAAATATTACCAAGGGTAAGGCTTTGCAGATCCCGGGAGAATCTACACCCAGTTTCGCTAAGAGTGTACTCCGTTTGCAAAGTGTATTATCAAATGATGTACTCCATTTGCAAAGTGGGGACGAAGTCTCGATTTCTGAAGTTACAGATGATCATGGGAGAGGGAGAGGGAGAGTGATGAAAACAGGAGTTAATCTAGTCTGGCATGATGGTGATGGCGGTGATTGTGATGGTGATGGTGATGGCATTCACGAGATTGGTGCCGTACCAAGCGATGGTGATGGCATTCACGAGATTGGTGCCGTACCAAGCGATGGTGATGGCGGTGACGCATGCTCTATCATTCACGAGATTGTTGCCGTACCAAGCGATGGTGAGTACCAATCTAAAAGGCCATCGAGGCGAGGCGTTTCATGGAGAGCATGCTTAGGTGGAAGCCTTGGAGACTATGTCATATAGTCTTAGAAAGTTGTAATTATTTATTTTATAGTAAGCATTTATAGAGAACTTCAAGAGAAATAAAGATCGAGTCGCAATCAAAGAGAATTTAAAAAGAAATAAAGACAGTTACAATTATTGAGAATTCCAAAAAAAAAAAAAAGATTGAGTGGAGCAATTATATGAATTTTAAAATGAATAAGGGCTGAGTGGGCAATATTATAGAGAATTTAAAGGAAAATAAAGGCGGAGTGAGTGGAGAAGTTATAGGGAATTTCAAGAGAAATAAATCTTTGTTAATCAAAATGCTAGGTGACGGAATTTGAATGGATAACAATTAAAAAAAAGTAAGAGTTCTATCTCTTTCTTCTTCGTTGAAACTAGAAGAAAAGAGTTAGAGAAATAAATCTTTGTTAATCAAAATGCTAGGTGGCAGAATCTGAATGGGCAACAAAAAAGAAAGAAAGAAAGGAGTTCGAATTAGAGAGAAACTTTTTCTTTCTTCTTTGTTGAAACTAGAACGGCTTCTTTGCATTTCAGAATCAGACCTGGGTTTTGAACGTAAAAAAAACTCTGATAAACGTCTGGGCGCAGCTTAGCCATCTAGGTGTGCCTCGTGGCCGCCTTAAGCCCACCCCCAGAAAACAAGGGCGAAAACCTATCTACCCCACCTCCAAGGCTGCCTAGGCCCACTTGAGGTTTTTAAAACACTGAGTACAGAGTTTTATGATTCGAATATAGCCAATTTTTAGCACTAAGTTTAGTGTTTGGTTATTTTATTTTATTTTTGTTTTTGTTTTTGCTTTTTTTGTTTTGTTTTTGCTTTTATTTTTTATTTTTTTATAATTAAACTTCTATAAATTAATAGCCTTGAGACCAAAGAAGACTATTAATTTAGTGGAATATTATATGAAGTAACAATTAAACTTCTTAAATATTGTACATTGTATTTAGTTTCTCATTTATGAATTAACAATTTTTATGTATTTGTTTAACTAAGTAAACTTTATGAATATACTTATTTTTCACAAAAATAAATTGTACATTGTTCAATATACTATGTTATACCATTTTATGAACATTAACCAAGCAAAAATTTTGTTTAAATAAACAAAAGCTATAGTAACACTATACATCATACATACAACAATGACTTCTCATCTCAAAATGTAAATAAATCAACAATTGTGGATAATACAACAATGACTTCTCATCTCAAAATATAAATAAATCAACAAATGTGGATAAAATGCGTAAAGTATTGTGTAAGTACAACAAAGATAACCGAAGTCGCACACAAAAACAATTGCAACAGTGGGACACAATTTTTTTGAAAATACAGGTTTTACAAAACAATTAATGTACATTAGTTCTAGACAAATGCTTCCGAAAATAAAGATTTCATGAAAACAAATGGATATGTATAATGAAGCTATGATGTTTGTACCATATTTGACCAATCCTGAAATTACTGAGCACCGGTCAACGTTATACCGTCAAGGACCGAGAAGAGTTTCCCTCCAACCAAGAGGCCAATCACAGCGCGACATGTGTCGACATCAGAAGCCAATCATAGCGCGACACGTGTCAACACTAGAAGTCAATCACAACACGACATGTGTCAATGTCAGAATGAAACTAGAAGCTCTCTTCTATAAATAGAGATCATTCTCTCACAATATTTCCTAATATCATTTGTACTAAATCATTCACTAGTACTCACTAAAGGAGGGCTTGAACCTATGTACTTGTGTAAACCCTTCATAATTAATGAGAACTCCTCTACTCCGTGGACGTAGCCAATCTGGGTGAACCACGTCCATCTTGTGTTTGCTTCCCTGACCCTATCCATTTACATACTTATCCACACTAGTGACCGGAGCAATCTAGCGAAGGTCACAAACTTAGCACTTTCTGTTGTACCAAAGTCCTCACTGATTTTGTGCATCAACATTTGGCGCCGTCTGTGGGAACGACACTTATTCCCACTCTCTTCAGCTTTGTCAAGCTGGTTTCCATCATTCGTACACTCTCTTTTGACCAGGCATCCCTCTCCAACATGGGGAGCGAAGGAAGCCATAACACACAAAATGACACCCATCTTGCACCTAGTGCGAAGCAACGAAAGAAGGAAGGAAAGAGGTTTGCTCTTCAAGCTAAAGTCGATGAGCTAGAAGCTCAGAACAACAAGATAGAAATGAAGAATGAGGTCCTCCAGAAGCAGTATGAGAAGCTCTTTGAGAAGCTCCATGAAACAAGGCGTACTCAAACACACGAGCTCGTTGCCCATGTGGACATCAACCATCATCTGGGTGCCCTCCAACATGGAGGGTCACCTTCATTCGACATGGGTATCCCTGATGAAGAGCGAGCTAATCATCAAAACATTGATCAACATGAGACATCTCTCAACCCAGCTGCTTCGACCCGAAGCAGGAGAAGTGGAGGAAGACACCTCCTTGCAGAAGGGTTGGAAGGATCGAAAGCCGTTTATCGTGACTGCCAAGACTTCCTAAAGCAACGTCGAGAGAATCCTCTCCACATATGCTCAAAGATCAATGACCCAAGGGTTCCCAAAAGACTCGGTCTCCTCCCACGACCCAGGCTAGCTGCCAATCTAGGGAAGGAACGACAGATCCCAGAGGAACACGAAGGTACAGGGGACTCTGAGGTATTTCGACAGACTCGCCCTAGAAGTCAGTACGGCGAGTCCAAGGAAAAATCACACGCCTTTGCTCAAACTTTACTACTTCCAAGAGGCGATGGAAACTTACGAAAGAAAATACCAGTGGTATATGACACCATTCAGAACCTCTTTGTCCTACAGCTCTTTGAGGAAGTAAACAAGTTAAAGGCCGAACGTCAGGCTGAGATACTTGACTGGAACCAACCCAGGCCTGGCCCTCTCACAAGGAGGATCCTTGACACCCCCTTCAAGCAAAGACAAAACAAAAGCTTGGTTTACAACTCTATATTAGAAGGGAAGACCCAATTGAACACCTTAACCTATTTGAGTCCACCATGGCATATTGAATGCACACCGACGAAGAGCGATGTCTTCTCTTCCCCTCCACCCTCTCTGGCGGAGCTCTAAACTGGTATTGCCGTCTTCCACCTGAGACAGTAGACTCATTTGAGGAACTGAGGAAACTGTTTGTCTCTCAACACATCTTCCAGACTGATCACTTGCATTCTGCAGATGACTTATACACTATTCGCCAGAAGCCGGACGAGTCACTACGAGAGTATGCTGGTCGTTTCAGCCATGAGTATTCTCGATGTGCTAAGGCAGATGACAAGACCGCCATCAAGGCCTTCACAGCAGGCCTACGTGATTGTTTCTTCAAGTACATGATTAATGCCAACACTTGGAAGACTTACTCTGAGGTGATGGCACAGGCATACAACCATGCCTCTGCCGAGGCAAGGACATATCAAGGGAAACCCCCACAACCACCCCTTATCAGCAAGTAGGGAGTGGAAGCCAGATCCAACCAAATGAGAATACCTCAACCTTCTAAACAGCAGCGGTGCCTCTCCCTGCCTTACTTAATACTTTGCCGAGTCAACAGACATATCAATCTCAAGGCAAAAGGAAAGATTTCTATCCTCACCAGTCTCATTTTAGTAAAAAGAGTAAGGGACACTACCGCGATAACCAAAGGTATTGCCATGATAATCCCCGACCCCAGGCAGTCAACATAGTGGGTCAAGCACGTGTCAGGACAACCTTTACCCTGAGGTATGAGGCGTACATACCTTTGAACGCCACATGCGTGGCCATTTACCTCAGCATAGCACACCTGATACCGAAGCCAAAGCTGAGGCACCCGGATTACAAGCCCACGAAGAACATGGGCACGTTTTGCTGCTACCACGAACATAACGGCTATGACGGCGATAAGTGTATCACCCTTCGTGATCATATTGAAGCTTTGCACGTGAAGGTAAAATTGATCAATTCCTCATTCACCCTCTAAGGGGTAACCGTAACCAATGCCAGGTGAATGTGATATATTCCATAAGTGGTGGCACACCCATATCTAAATCTTCCAACAGGGCCATGAAAAATAGTGAATGAGCTTTAAAGTCTGGCCACCAAGTGTTTCACGTGGAAGACATCAGGGGAGATAAGTATCAAAAGCCTAACTGGGATCCAATATGTTTCTACCCTGAGGAAGAAAGAGGTATCATCTACCCTCACAACGACCCACTGATTGTGGAAGCTCATATAGCCAACTTTGAAGTACGACGAATCCTGGTAGACACAGGGGCTTCAGTCAATATCATGTTTGCTGAAGCTTTCAGGGCACTTAATGTAGCTGAACACTTGCTCGATTGCTCGATTTCCCCTCTGATAAGCTTAAGCTTTCTCCGGTGATATCGTGCAACCTTTGGGGAGCATACACTTACCTTTCACCATTGGTACAGGCCCTTACACAGTTACCATTACCACTATCTTCCTGGTGGTTGATTACCCAACGGCATACAATGTCATCTTCGGACGCACAGGCATCAATAATCTTAAGGCCATGGTATCCACACATATGTTGTTGATGAAATTTCCAAGCCCCTTATGGCAATGGTTACATCAAAGAAGATCAACTTAGTGCACGATCATGTTACAACACTTCGGTCAAGCAACAGCACCTGCTTGTGCCCAAGGAAACCCTTTCTATACATGACCAAGTCATAAAGACCAGCCCAGACAAAGCCAACTTGGATCTTCACGATGGCAACAGTCAACCCGACGATCCTCAATATGACTCTTTCACCCAGCAAGCACAAACCGCTGAAGAGTTGGAGAATGTCTATCTCAAAAGATTATCCGGATCGCATGGTGAAGATTGGCACCACCTTGTCACCACCCATTCGGTTGGCATTGATCTCTTTTTTGCAAGAGAACACTGAGGTCTTTGCCTGGTCATACGAGGACATGCCAGGTATCTCTCCCGATATCATTTGTCATCGCTTAAGTATTGACCCCAAGACCAAGCCAGTGAGACAGAAGCGAAGATCTTATGACGCTGAACGGTACAAGGCAATGAAGGCAGAAGTTCAAAAACTCAAAGGCATAGGCTTTGTCTGCGAAGTCAATTATACAACGTGGGTAGCAAATGTTGTCCTTGTTAAGAAGA